TAGAGTGTAGAGTATAGAGTATAGAGTATAGAGTATAGAGTATAGAGTATAGAGTATAGAGTATAGTATATAGTATACAGTATATGGTATATAGTATATAGTGTATAGTATATAGTATATAGTATATAGTGTATAGCATATAGTATATAGCATATATCACATAGTATATAGTATATAGAGTCATAGAATATAGTATATAGTATAGCACAGTGACGTATAGTCTCGTATCGTATAGAACAGTAGTGCCTTGGAAGGGGAATCTCACGATTTTGAGTGCGACTGACGATCGAGGCTGTCGCGGCATCGTGGAGCTGCATGCCTTTTTCGCGCTGACGAGTTCTTGGCAGATCGCCAAAGACGGGGTCTCATCACCCCAGCGAAGATTCCTTGAGCAATTTCAGTTGCTATGACAACCACTCGCTCCCCAATCCTTCCAATAGCGCCAAGCTGCACCTGCGTGAGCCAAGGACGCCAAGCGACATCATGAAGCGAGGGCCACTCTTTGATCCGGACAGTGATGGCCGAAGTCCACTCATCAGCGAGATGAGTTCTTCCAGCTTTTTGGGCTCCGGCGGGTGCAGAGCTTGGCCGATTCACGGAGACTTGGCAAGTACCATAAGCACTCTTAGCCCATGCAGATTGATAGTCCCAACAAGCGCGGCAGGCTTAGACTTATGACATGCATGTATGCCATGGACAGGCATCGATCTTTCAAGAGCACTTGCTCCTGCCTCTCTCCCTCTGTCGCTCTCTCCTTTTTTCCGCCTCCTCCTCCGTGCCAAGCGTCCTTGCTCCTTCCCTCGTTCCATCTCTCCACACTTGTGGACGTCCGTTCTGCGCGGCCTCAGGGTGCTCAGGAAAGTCACAACCTGCAAGGCCCCACACCCCTTGTTGGGGCCGGGGTGCAACGGGAGCCTCTCTGGCCTGCCAGCTCAGCTTGTGGGTCCGGAACTGCATTTGAACGGCGGAAAACCCTTCCCGCCTGTTTCTTTGGGCAAACATCTCTCTCTCTCTCTCTCTCTATCCCTATGCCTATCGGTACTCGTGCTGTGTGTTATCACAAATCTATCGGTGCTCATGCCATCTTGCTCTGTGCCCTTGTGCGCTCTCTTTGTTTTGCTCTAGTTACAATGGAATGTGAGCGAAGAATGAGGGGAATGAGGAACCAATCGGGTGAAAGCGTGAAAGAGGAAGACAACGAAGAGAACACAAGGCACAGCCCATTATGTTCACCAGAGACCCAGATTCAATTGATTAAACCATGCAGTCATTTTGTTCCTTCATGTTAGCTAAATTAAATTTGGCTAACACTTTTCATGCAGTTTCTTTTCGCTCTTTGTTCAATTGCAAATGAAAGAAAAGAATGCACGAAACGAACAAAGAAAGCGAAAGAAGCACCCATGCGAAACGGGCCCAAGTTTTTATAATATGCACTACGCTTTGTTCTTTTGTTTTCATATTGAACTTGGCCCTTTTCCATTCGCATCGCTCATGTTTTCATGCAATGAAGCATTACTTAGGTGAACGAGTGCAAGGTAAAACCGTTAAACTTCATCATATTTTGCGTTCATTTACTTAACTCAGGCTTTTCCCGCTGTCAATGAAGAGTCTGGAGATCTGATTAATTCCAAGGTGATAGAGGGCTGGTGGAAATAAGGCTTGGAAACACAGGTTGGGTGGATTAGAGCGTGCTCCATCGCATCCTCTGGTGCCCGAATTATCCCGTCCATCCTGTCCTATGCCAGTAAGGGCAGCAGCCGAGTCGTTGTGAAAAAATCTTGCCCTATGCCAACGTGTTTATTTTGTATAAATCTGTCGGTTCGCCCACCTGTCTATCTTTGCTGCTGTCTGTGGATGCCAGCTGAAGCATTCGTTCAAACTTCGAAGGAGCAACCATGTCCCGAAGCACGGCTCGAGGTTCAGTAACTTGGATGAAGCGTGCATGTCTTGTCCACCGGATCGTGCACACACTCAGCTTCATTACACTCCTTCCCGGCATGCAGATAGGCATCACTGCAAGCTTGAGGATCACTCATTGAGGCGTCCCACGCCTCCGTGGAATCTCGGAGCATTATGTGCCCGGTCTTCCCTCCTATGTGACATTGACCGCCTTGCTATTCCAAGTGCCTTTTGTGCCCGCCTGCCCTGATGGAGGACGGACCTCAAAGCTGCCACGGAGCCTTCCCGCCCGGCAAAGCCATCGGTTTCTTGGGCGCTGGCAGAGGCCCTCAAAGTCCTTGATGCCTCCTGCGTGCTTGCAGTGCATCCCACCTGCTACCTGTGCACATCAACCAGGCGAGTACTCGCGAGAGCGAGGCTTTCTCCATGGCAACCTCCATCAGCTTCGGTCGCGAGGAGCTGCCGGATTGAGCTTCCGGTGCCAGGTCAACCATCGAATCTATTGCCAGGATCCGCGCGTGTGTGATGCGAGTGTGCCTGCACCGGCAGTGCTACCCTCAGGACAAACTAGTCACGAGTCTTGTGCTACTTAAACAGTGCCGCATGCGGGATCAGGGCTCTGCTGTACCGGGTTTCTCAGCAACTTCATTTCCTGGCAGAAATCATCTTATTTTACATGCACCACCGGCCGCGAGCAATGTATTACATTTTTTCAACACCTCACGCTGACTGTGTTCGACCGTGCTACTCAGGCAACGCAGCCGAGTGCTTCCAGAATTTCCAGCTCGAGACCAAGAGCTTCGCCTGCACTGAAGGTCAGTTAGCAGTGCAGGTCTGCGGCCTCAAGAACAGCACAACACAGCAGTGATGCTTTTGAAATCGAGGCACACTTCCCGGTGTGGCACGGCAGTTGGACTTCGATGGGGCAGGAGGATCGCATCAGAGCAGTGCTGAAGCCATCTTCCAGCTCAAGTCCATGTCGTTCCACAGACCCTGAGACCCCAAAGGAGTTTTCGCCGAGCCTGACCGTAGTCCTCTGAGCCCTGTGGATGTTTGGCACAGCTGCTATGCTGCAAGACCGCTGCAGGCCCGTGTAGGACGCCGACTGCCCGAGCCCTGAGGTCGAACATCGTCGTTGTCCAGCCTGGATGATCTCCGCGAGCTCAGCCTTTTGAGCTTTAGCTCCCCCAACTCTGGAGAATTTCGACATGAGTCACCGGCAGAGGCGGTGCTTGAAGACAAGAGCCAGAAAACTCGCAAGACGCCTGCAAACTGTGTACGACCTGGACGACCTGCAAGTGCAAACAGGGAGATGGACAAGGCAGTACGTGGCTTGGTGCTGCATGTTTGCACCTGTTGTGCACAGGGGCACAGCCCAAGTGGTGTGCAGAGTTGCCTACACGGGAAGAGGCGAAGCTCTTTCAATTCTTTAGCGGGGGAGTGCCTGCCATCTACGAAGTCCTTGAACATCTGCCGATCTCAATCCAACTGTCGAAGGCAGAGGCTTTCGCAGGAGAGATTCTCGCTTGAAGAGTTGCAGGCTGCATCACGCTTCGCGCAGTATCGCTGCGATGAGCATAGACGGAGCTTGCAGCTAGGAGGGCGAACAGGCCGTTGGTACCCGGGTCGTCTTGTTTAACCAAGCTGCCGAGTCATGAAGGTTCTTAGCTTGTTTTGCTTGGTCCACAGATTTCCTGCGGGAGCGTGCCTCCTGAGCAGTGGCTTCAATGACAGTGACAATAGAAGGATACGGGTGTGCAGGAGAATGCTGGGCACCTGCTTACCGTGCAGGAATGCAATTAGAAGCAATTCGATTCTCAGACCACGCTGGTCGGGAAAGCTCAAATTTGCATCGCCTCGTTCTGCAAGCGGCAGCAGGGGAAGTTGAGCTCGCCACGGGGCAAAATGTGCATTTAATTTGGCCAAGGTGTCGTCAGTTATGCTCGATGTCTACGGTTCCGTTGTGCATGCTTCTGCCTTCCGTTGACCTTGGCTCTACTACTTGATCTACTTGCCTACGCCAAACCTTTCTCCTGTGAGCCTCCTCTGTGTTGGCCGAAAGCGGCGTGTCGGCTCTCCCAAGGTGCGCTGGCTCAGAGACGAATGCATATAATGCATAACAAGTCCGGCAGACGTGTAGTTTGACAGTTCTTTGCCTCGTTGCCAGACACACTGTGCCGATCTCATAGCATGGGCGTGTGGAATGAGTTAGGACTGAAGGCCTGTTTTTGCAAAGTATGACGAGGGTCATACTTTGAAACAGACCTTCATCCTGTTGACGGGGTTCCACGCTCCTCGTCTATGTTGGCCGCGCTGGTGTAGTGGTAGGGCAGCTGAATGCCGGGAACCGTCTCATGACCCAATACGCTTCAAATAGTTTGACAGCACAGTGGTTGGGGATTGCAAGTGAGGCCTCGCTTCACCTTTTCTTTGCTCATGCCATCATGGCTGTATTCTAGTAGTTGCCTGCTTGCTTGCACAAGCTTACAAAGCCGTTCATTTAGCTCTGCCTGCCCGCCATGCAAATTATATTTCTGAGCAGCCCGCGAAACGAGTGAGAGCGTCTTTGCCTTCGCTTGCCTGCATGTCTGTGTAGGCAAGATGAACACACTAGAGAACTCAAAGTTTTTGTGTTTGCTGGTCAGCCTCCCACTTCCCGCTCGGATTTGCTGTGTCCGTTCTGGTCGAGAAGATGCCTCTCTAGCAGCGAAAAAAGCTCCAGCTTCGTGACTCCCGACTTGGCTCGCCACAATCGAGTAGCTTGGTGGTAGCATAAACGTAGCCGCTCATACGGTTACCCACGTGTGATCGTGCCGATCTGCGCCCAGGCGCTTTCACCTTGTGCTTGGTTAGGCACGTCTGACTGGACAGGGCTCTGCTCTTTCGACAGGTTTAAGGTGACGCGCGATGTCGTCCGCGCAGAAGAGCAGTTGGCACAGACTGCTGGGGCCAGGGACGGATCGGATAGGGACGGACTGTTTCTCTGCTGAGGTGATGCAAATGACTTGCGAGCAGAGCCTCGGCCAAGAGAGCTTTCTTCCACAGACTGGGGATGACGGGAGCATGCCCGGCATGTGCAGGTGCAGAACGCGTTCCAGAACATGAAGGTGGAGCCGACCAAGAGCACCGACGAGCTCCTTGTAAGAGATTTCTTTCGCTATTTGTCGCCAGACTGACCGTGCCAGCTCTTCCTGCGCTCGGGCTCTGCTTGCTGCTGCAGCTGAGGACGACCAAGAAGTCTTACACGTACAATGCCGAGCGCGTGCTTGGCAGCGGCTCCTTTGGTGTCGTGTACCAGGCAGAAGATCTTTGGACCTTTGACAAGCAGATGGCATCGTGCCACGAGTGACTCGAGGCCGTTGTGGTCGAAACAGGTGAGTCGGCAGCGGGCCTAGGGTAGTACACATGGACGTTTTTGCCCTCGGCATTTCAATTTCACAAGCTTGGAGCATGCGAGGTCGCCATCAAGAAGGCCAACAGATCTCCGTGGAAAGCGCAGGAGCTGCCCCTCATGTGTGCATCTCTTGAAGAGGTCTTCCAGGACAAGAGGTACAAGAACCGCGAACTGCAGATCATGAAGGCTGTGCCGCGACACTAACATAGGTGGCATAGGGGAGGCGAATGAGTGACTCGGGAGGAACTTCGACACCCCAATGTCGTGGAGCTGAAGCATGCCCAGGGCTCGTGCCAGGCACTCTCCGAAGCGACGCATGTCTCGTTCGCTTGCCGAGGCCTTCTACACCTCAGGTGAGAAGCCTGGTGAGACTTACCTGAATGCAACTTGGCTGTCTGGGTGCGGACATGTGCAGATTGAAACAACCTTGCAACATCGCTGCAACATGTATCAGAAATTTGGTGGTGCTGGAGGTGGTGATGGAGTACTGTTCCGACACCGTCTATCGAGTGCGACTCTGAGCCACAGATGACCTTAGGGGTCAAGTCTTAGAGTTGCTGCGACTGGGGGAGGTCATGAAGCACTACACGAAGATGAAGCAGCCGCTTTGCTGGAGAATGGCGGTCCTTGACCATCTTGAGCGCATTTTAGTTGCCTCTGCAGAACCAGGCAATGCCTGTCGAAGCTGCTCAGGGCGGCTGCTAGCATTTTACTTCCCCATCTTCCTCCCTTATTTAGGGAGGAGAGTATCCCACCAGAAGATTCTTGAAGCAAACGGTTTACTGGATAAACCGGCCGAGTTGTCTTGTCAAGCTGTTTTAGACAGACCACTTCCAGCATCCGGGCCTCTCACAAGCCGAGTCTTGCCCAATCATGCGACATGCAAACTTGATGAAGTGGTTGGCCGCAGACCGGTGCCTCACATCTTCGTCCAGCTCTACTCCTACCAGATGGCTCGTGCCTGTGCCCCCTGACAGCATTGATACTCCACAGGGTCGCGCCAGTCGTTCAGCTCGAGCGGTTCAGGCATATATCCACGCCGTTGGAATATGCCATCGGGACATCAAGCCTCAAAACCTTCTGGTGGACGGCTGTGGCCTCGGGACACTGAGTCACTGAGCGCTTCCGATGTCGCAGCAGAGAGCGTCACCCAGGTCACACGCATGCCCTCAAAGTGTGCGACTTCGGCTCAGCAAAACCTCTAGTGAAGGGAGAGCCCAACGTCGCATACATTTGTGCCTTGGCAGCTTTGGAAGCATTGGCCGTTCCTTGCAGATTTTGGTATCGGTAAGCTACGTGCAGTGCTTAGTGCTTTTGCGATGTGTTTTGCCATGGTTTGGGGACGGGGATGTTCATGTACGAACGAAGCTTTCCATGAGCATCGTGCTCCCGCTGCTTTGCCTTTTTATGTCGTCTTTCTGGTGCTGCGGGGTGACCGTGGTGCTAAAGCCTGCCTGAGGCTCGCGCTACTACCGAGCGCCCGAGTTGATTTTCGGTGCCACAGACTATGGATTCGTCGGGGGCTTTGCTGAAAGGGTTGCAGCTTTCGGCCAGCAGCCGATGCACACTTTGCACGACTTTCGGCGTTGCCCCCCTCAGCCCTGTGACAGGTGATCGACATTTGGTCGATGGCTTGTGTGTCAGCTCTATGCTCGGCCCGGGCTTACTTGAAACTGCTTGGGCAGCTCGTTCTCGGTGCAAGGCTGAGTTGATCCTGGGCCATCCCATCTTCCCAGGGGAGAGTGGTGTCGATCAGCTGGTGGAGATCATCAAGGCAGGCCCCGTCCCGACATGCATATTGCTTTTAAGCGCAGTGCTCTTAGTTTACAACAGTGCTTCGAAGGTGCTGGGCACTCCAACGAGAGAGGAGCTCATGGCAATGAACCCCAACTACACAGAGCCCCTAAGCTGCAGTTGGCACAAGAAGGGCTTTGGGCGCCTAGCCTTAGCCTCTTCCATTGACATGTCTGGAGAACCGCAGCTTGCAAAGACGACGGCCGAAGGGCTTCAGGTTAGCTGAGAGGCTCTTTTCGGGTGCAATGGAGCAGCTGAAGGCCCTCCAGCGGAAAAGCGCCTTACTCCGGATACTCCAGGAGACCTGGGCTGATGCGTCGAAGGAGGAGCAGGATCTCGTGGCAGAGACCCTTCAAGCCGTGATCCCTGCTCTGCAGAGTGCCTTCGGGTCGGAAACCTTGCAGCGGCTTGGCCTTCTCAGGCGATTCTTTAACCTTGTCGGGGAGCTCAACATGAGCAATCTCGTGTCCTTGTGCTCAGAGACTGCCAAGCTCCCCCAAGCAGGAAGGATCTGTGACCAGAAGTGCGAGGTGTCGATCGAAGGGGTAGACTTGGCACAGTCGGCCCTGGAAGACTTCGTTAACTCTTACTATATGTTCCACGGCTTGAACTCGGAGAGCACGCGAGATGTTCTGAAGTACCTTCCCATCCTGGGCTTTGTGGAGAGCCACATCTACGGTCTAGATCAGGCCAACGAGGACAGCTTGCTTCCGCGAGAGGGACACTTGCCAACATCCACGGATGCCGATCCGTCCGTCGAGGATCCCTTCGGACCTTTGCGAGGAGTCCTTCGCGAACGGCAATGGCTCACGGAACGTCTGGACCGGGAGCTGCACGAAGGCGCGCGATTCTGGGCCCTTGAGCGAAAGCTTTGCACCGCACTCGCCACACCGAAAGCTCAGCGTGAACAGAATTCGATCAACCGCTGCGATGTGGAAGAAGCTTTGCGCTTGAAGTCGTTCGACTATCGTACCATGAACCTTTTGCTCTATATCATGAGAGGTGAGGAGCCAAACGAGGAACACATGAATTTTCTGGCAACGTCTGAGATTCTTGTGGAGATTGGGGATGACCTTGTGGACTACTTTGAAGATGTTGACAGCAGGGAATAGAGTATGCTGTTTTGTTGCTGGTGTTTGCTTCTTGTTCCTAGCAAACAGAGAAAATCGAAGCCCTCCTGCCTATGCTGGCCTCGCAGTCAAGGTTGAGAGAAATTCCTTCAACCTGTACCGGTGCTTTCTGGCGATGTACGGACCGGATACAGGACCTGAAGAACTTCGCAAGTACATAGCTGAAGCTGAACATCGATACTCTACGGCCTTCCGCAAGGTGGACGAGTCATTGGCACAGAAGTGGCTGAAGCAGAACGAACTGCTGAAACGACACAGCTTCGGAAGCGAAGGTCCGCAGGGAGGCCATTGGGAGCTGCCGCCTCCTGTGGATGAATCAGCCTGGCGAGGATGAATCTGAAAAGACGATGCAAGACCCTTGCGTCATCTACTGGTAGCGGCTGGGGTCAAAGACGAGGAAGTGTTCCGGATGGTGGCCAGTCGTGGACAGATCGTGCAAAAGGTCGAACCAGTCTCCCGGCGTCTTGGTGGCCGTGGGCTTCTGTCGGAGCCCCCGCTGCAAGTCCGCGCGTCCAGAGCCACGACGTAGCCACGAGATGGGCCATCATGGCCAGAAGCAGGCAGACAGTGAGCCGAGACGGAGAGCGGCAAGAGCTTCAAAACAGCACTGTGAGCCTGTGCTTTAGACTTGATGTCGCAGTCATGTTCGCTTAAGATGGCTCAGTGACCCCAGGTTCAAGTTTCCGCAGATTAAGCCGCACCCGTGGCACAAGGCCGGCTGGCTCGGCTCGGTTCAAAATGCAAAGAGCAAGATTAAGCCAGCTTTTTCACGCTGCGGGCGGGCCTCACTAGGTCTTTCGGGCCCGAACTTCGGCAGATGCTGTCGACTACATCTCGAAGCTGTTGGCCACGGCCTTGCGTCACTGTCGAGATGAGCGCTGCCTTGCGGAGGCTTGTTGGTGAGACGAACTTACGAACTTCAGGTTTATGACCCGAAAATGCGGCCAACTGGGCTTCAGTTCATCCCTCGGCTTGCTCACAGAGACACGTGTGCGAACACGGTTGCTCGAACGAGGTGCTGTACCCATGCGCTCTTCGATGACCTCCGTGACCAGAACACACGTATCAGCAGCAGCTGGCTTTCCCATCAGGAACTGGTCTTCTACCATATTCTCCCCAACTAGTACAGATGTCTCGATAAGCTTGATGTTAGAGGGAATACGTCGGTTTCAGCCTCCTAGTGCAGGCACGAGAAAACTGTTGCTCAGGCACCAAGCCCTTGCCGGAGCACTTGTTCGCTTTTGCGAAGGAAGAGGTTGCAGGGTCCTCAGCCCTTGCTGCATTCGCGTCACATGACCACATTGGTTGACGTGAGACGGGGCATGGTTCCAGCTTTATGTAGTGACGAGCCAGGCGTTGATGGATCCGGAACTACGACGAAAACTCATCCCAGCCTGGGTCACTGCCCTACTGATAGTCTGACTGTGATCTGCACGCTCTTGATCCACAAAGCCGCGCAGAGCTCGGAGGTGCAACCACCAGCGCTAACAGTCGGCTCTCAAGCGAATTTTAGAACTCCCATGTGCGAGGCAGAGGCCCAGAAACCCACTCAATGAGCTGGGCCCAGGCAGGTCCGTAAATGCTGTCTGGTCGGGGCATCGTTTTCCTGTGTTTCAATGCCCATCCTTGCAGCTGTGATGTCATCACACATTCGGACATCAACAAGCACTGCAGAGCACATGTCCCTTGTGTCAATCATCCTGTGCTACCCTGTGCCAGGGACGAGCTTTTAATCCTCAGTGAGTCGCCTCTTTGTTTTGTCCGCATACAAAAAGCAGTGTTTTGCTAATGCGAGCCGTAGAGTCCTAAGAAATGCAGCTTCAGCATTCCTAGATTGAGAGTTGCGTTGCGAGCCCTTGAGCTTTCCTGTGTTGCTGGACTCTGCGCCCTGAGGTGACGGGCAGTGGGTCTTATCAGAACCGCAAGAATGAAAATACTCATCCTGTACTGCAGACGGTAGTGCTTGGAGTCCGCAGGGCCAGGACCAGAGCCGGCAGCGATTTTTCAAGCCGTGGTAAATCCGTGTTTGAGCAGGAGATTTGCATTGATGCGCCGCTTCGACACCTTGGGGCGTCGGTTACATCCTGCAGAGCTGGTTTTTGGCCTGCAGCTTGTGGTTGAAGCCACCTCAAGGCAAGCAGCTGCGGAGAAACCTGCATCCAGAAGCCCATATTCGTAACTAGAGCCCTTGCCTGTTAGGTCCCCAGCTGCCAAATAAACATGTTCTCTGTGCGGAAGTTCTGGCCCACGGCAGCAAAGCTCCGTGTGATGAGTCTTTTAACAAAAAAACTTGACAGCGGTGCTTGACTGTCGTCGTGTTTCCGATGAAATGGACCGAAAAAGATCCCTTGGGATCGTCTACACTTCGTGAAACACAAAGCGGCGCAGCGTCTCAAAGAGGCATCAGCTTTGTTTGAGCGGCTGCGTCGGAGAGAATCAGGGGAGTTCTTTCGGAAGAGAAAGTGCTAATACTTCCTCGGCTTGTCATGTCCGACAAGACTGCGGCAAGACTTGTTTCAGAACGCTTCGGCAGAAAGACCTCCCACGAACTGGAACCATCGCGGGTACACTGTACAGAGGCCGCCTGCGGTCCATCCACTTTCACCCATAGCGTGTTGCTGAGCTTGCTCGCGCAGCCTTGCAAACTCGATGGATATCAGGTGACGATGTTGGAGTGTTGTGTACAAAGAGCTGGGGGCAGGAGCCTCGTTGCCCCGGGAGTCGCTGCATCCTGCCCTTGGGGATCCAGCCCTGCGAAGGCGGTCCGTGTCGGCCAACATTCGAGACTGTCCGTTCTTGCGTGAAAAGGGCTGCCGCGGTTTTTTCTAGCGCCGCGTCTGTGACTGGCGCAGGTGTCTCAGCGGATGCATGCTGTTCCGTCAGGTCTGAGGTAGTTCTAAAGTTCAAACACCCAAAAGCCGTGCAAGTCAGAAGGTCAACGGGACACATTGTGTTGATCTTATGATGGGTTTCTTCGACAGATTGGGATGTAGCAGTGCTGGCTATGCCTGTCGAATGTGTAAAGGGGTCACAGTCTTGGAAGGGGGCTGGTTTTCAACAGACAAGACGAGACTTGAGGAGATTTGAGGAGTGCGGTGGTTGTACAGTTGTGCCTAGTTGCCCCGGCCATGGTCGTGGCGTCTGGGACCACCAACAGCTATGAGGTGGAGCGGGCTGTCGGTGCTTGTTAGGAAGTCGGCAAGGTGACAACCCATTGTCGCGGCCATTTGGCGGCTCAAGCCTGCCGTAGATCTGGTAGATGCCGCTGAAGTCCAGGCAATCCCTTCGGTGCGCTCATGGCGTCAAGGCTCGGAGACGCTTGGCCGGCACATGTTCTTGTGAGTGTTTGGCCTCATTGCCGATCCAGCATCCATCCTCGGCAGCACAGGCATCAGGAGACTGTGTCCCCCCTTGTCCTTCTCTCTCTCTCTCTCTCTCCGTGTCTTTGAGAGAGGGAGAGAGAGAGAGAGAGAGAGAGAGAGAGACAGAGAGAGAATATATATATATATATACACACACATGAATGGAGTACATAACCCGGGAGACATGACAACCTGTCCAACATGGTATTCTACGGTACTTAGTGTTACATCAACTGGGGTTGACAAAGCCGGGGCATGTGCTCAAGTCATGCATGTGTCCACGCATTCCTGACCACACTAATAATATGATATGTATTCTTCTTTACAAAGTGTGAACAGTAAGCTGTTCTCACAATCCCTTGAAAGCACCATAACATATAGGTGGCCATCCCCCAAGTCCTGTGCAAGAAGATTTATATATACACATACATACATCCATACATCCATACATACATACATACATACATACCTACATACATACATACACGCACACACACACTCACATACACATGTGCATACACATGCACATGCACATGCACATGCACATGTATACATGCATGTATGTATGTATGTATGTATGTATGTATGTATGTATGTATGTATGTGTGCTATAGAAGGGGTGCCTGGGAACCAGTTTCTAAGGCCATCGCCCTGGAGATGGCGCCCGCCGGACGGCTGCGGCTCGGGCCTCGGCCCCGTTGCTGTGCGACGACATTTGGTTTAAGGTTTACTCTAGGGCCTTATAAGGCCTTATTCTGGGGCTCCTATTAGGGTTGTAAAAAAAAAGGCCGTAATAGGGGCCTTAGAGGCCTTAGGGTTTTTAGGGCCTTTTAACCCGCCCTCTCCCCGCCATCAAGAGGTCAGCACAACAGACGGCAGGGCCGCTATCATTCAGCAGCATAGCCGCGGCGTGCATTCTGCAGACAGCAGCATTGTCCAGAACTGTTCACATTCTCGGCAGGCTTCTTTTCCGACCGGTTGTTGACAAGCACAAGCATCGACGAGTTTGTAGAAAGTAAGAATTGTGATCGAGCTTTGTGATGTGTCGTTCAAGCTTAGCCTGCATCATTCACACTCGCTTACCAGCACCAGCTTGCATTTGCAATGCGCTGCTGCCCCTTCCGTCCCCCTAGCGTTCGTCTGCTTTGCTCTCAAGTTGCGTCACAGTCAGCACTATCAGAGCCATCGTTGCTGGTGACTAACCGGAAGCCCCAAGGGTCGGAATCAACATGCGCAACCAGCTGTTGGTCACTGGCAGGCCGGGCGCACAGGATGCAAGAGGTGGAGTCCTGAAAGCAGCCCCCCTGCAGGACCGCCTCGGGTGATCCTGCAGGTCTTGCACCAAGCATGGCAACAGCATTCGCCGAGCGCATCGGCACCTCGACATGTCGTGCCAAGACACTGCCTCATCTGCTCCAAGATTTTCGGCGTGAGTGCAAGATCGACACGGCGTTTCGCTCTTGTAATCCCCCGTGCCTTCTTGTGCTGAGGTGTGCCTGTGGAGTTCATCCCGTACGACTCTCCCGCAAAGCTGGCAGATGATGCCGCAATGGACAAATGGGATGTTGCCATGATCGGGGCAGACCCAGCTCGAGCTGCGTGCCTTGGCGCTGGGGTGGCCGCTGCACAGACCTTTCCGCTACTTTAGCCCTTCCTTCCTGGCAAAAGCTTTTGTGCATCGCTGAGACTTGGAGGTATGTCGACTTCACGGCGCCGTATTGTCAGATTGAGGCGACGTACGCGGTGGCTTCCGATTCAAAATTTGAAAATTGCTCGGTGGCTGGGCTTGCGAAGGCACGTCAGCTCCGTAAGACCCTGGAACTGCGCCGTGACTAAGCGGCCATAAGGAAGTGGATGCGGAAGGCCTTCGAATTGCAGGATGTTCTGGGGCCGCCTATGTGCTGTGGCTAGAGCGAAATCTCAAACATGCGAGCTTCGCCGGCAAGTGCCAGGAGAAAAGCGTTTCTTGATCAGGATGCGCTCGTTGTTTCGATCTTCTTCGCTGAGGATGTTGGTCAAGGCGGATGGCCATGATGCAACTTACGACACTCGCATGCAGTGTTGAGGCTTGCAGTTTTCAAGAAATCGGTCCAAGCCTCCTCCGCAGAGTCCAGGACATGTACAAGGCGGACAAGCTGGATGCCTTGGCTGGGTTGAGGTCAAAACTGACGAAGGCGCAACTTGCAGCAAGTGAGAAAGGGGGGTGTGTCGGCTGTCTCTGTGTGTGTGTGTGCGCATGTGGGCTGTTCAACCTGGGACGAGCCTTGGTTCAGGATGCCCCGAAGCTTCCCGGAACTCGATTGCTCCCGGGGAAATTCATGGCAGTGGAGCAGGCGGACCTTCGGTTAGGTGTCCAGAGCCGGGGAGAAGACAGGGCACGTGCACAAACACGCCCATGAGGCTGCCTGCACAAAGAAGGGCCGCAGCCAAGGCTCGATGCCGGTTGCGTGTGTCTGATGCATGTAGGCTGCCCGTGGCAATTCGGGGAATGTGGTCCGACTGGCGAAAAGCGATGCTGAACCTAAGTGCATTCAGGATTTGAAGAGCTGCAAAAGTTCATTGAGGAAGCCAAACAATCTGGGATGGTTCTGCAGCTTGGTCTGATAATCGGCTGGCATATGAGTTCCTTTGCTGTGTCCATGATGCTGAGATGTGCCTGCATTAAAATTAAAGCAAGACTTCGACGGTACCGCTTTTCACAGTTTGTGCTGTGTAGCATCTGTCAGGAATTTGATGAAACAGCACCCTGGTGGCACGTAGCTCTGCTTAGGCTTGCTGTCGCATGAGCGGAGACGGCGATTTCGTTCTGCGAAGAACCCAAGGTTTGGTGTCGACACAGAACTCGTCGTTGCTCCGCCTTCTTGAATCTCGAACTCCCCTGACGTCTTGCACGGTGGTCCCAGCACTGATCGGCTTTTGGCGCCACCAACGACTCGCTCTCCAGTCCCGGCACAAGTCCCAGGGGCGGAGATAGTTTACTTCCATCTCGCAGATTTGTCGGAGGAAAATTTGAGCATCTCATTATGCAAGGCATGCAAGTTCAGTTGTTTGCAAGTGGCATGTCCTGGTTCTATAGACTTGCACAGGAATTGGATGTGGCAGCATTGAGGGATCTCATCGCAAAGCTTGAGCAGAGCAGGCAATCCGGTGCAAGGGTCCCTGAGGCTTTCATTTCAGAGCTGTTCCGCTTCGTTTCCTGTCCACTGTAGGTGCTCCATAGAGTTGGCTCTGTCATGTCGACGAAGGGTTCAACACCGTTTCCCCATGGTTCCAAATCGTGACTTGCGCTTTTTCCTTTCGATTCTGGATTCAACCGAAAGACACCGACCCACGATGTTGAACGGTAATGCCTACCAGCGATTGGAGCCCTAGCCTCCTCTAGCTATCCTAATGTCAACGAACAGTTCCAGCAATTGATGGTGTACGAATCATTTCTTCCAGCGGAATCAGTTTAATCTTTCGTCGGCTGAAGGGCGGAAGTGTTTGAAGCCGCAGATAACCGATGAATAGACGCGCAATCGTGCCAGAATAGACTCATGTGTTGAAGGAACCCAATTTGCTCAGCGCCGGTCCTTTTTGGTTGACTCAGGCGACGAAGTGAGCTCCGTGCAAAGCAGAGGGAGGAGGAGCTTCAGCAGGAGGCCGCTCCAAAGAGCATACCGATGTGTCACTTGGAGTTGTTTTTGTCATCTCTGCAGGTGGCCAGACTGCAGTCCGAAAACAGCCTTCTCGTAGAGAAAGCACGAGGTGGGTTCCTTTGTGGCCTTCCCTGACATACATCGAGTGTTGCGACCCGAGGCGCCGAGCACTTCGAACCGGGATTGGAGAGGCCCTTGCGCCTGGCTGAAGCCCAGCTGCGACTCGAAGAGGAAAACAGGCGCCCGGGAGGGAAGAGCTTCCTTGCACGCCCTCCGCGCAGTCGCGCGGTCGCGGTCGCGTCTGAGGCGGCTCGCCGAAGAGCGGAGCCAGCTGCTGCTCGAGGTCTCTCGAACCTCGCGAGACAATCGACGTTTGGCTCTCCGCGAGGCCGGTAGCGGTAGCGGCTTTTCTGCTGCTCAACAAGTAATCCTTTCGATCCCCGCGAGGCGCAGGCGCGGGCGGAGCTGGACGCGTGCCTCGGCCGTTCCGTGCTCTCCCTGCATAAACACCATCCGAAAGACCTCGTTCATTGAGGTTCCTTTCCGCAGCAGCGCGATGCGAAGTGTCGGTCCAGACCGACCATGAGTCCGCTGTGGGTTTCTCGCTGCAAAACCAGACTCGCCGCTGTACCGGAGTTTCCAACAGCCCAGAGTGAATGAGCATGGCCCAGCACCATGTCTAAGATTGTGCCCATCTTGATGCACTCTCCACACGCTTACAGGCTCAAGTCCGGCACCACTCGCGTGACTCGGCGCTTAAGATGATGTCTCCGTCCAGTAGCCTAGGTCTAGGCTACGAGACATCGCATGCCGTGTTCATATGACCTTATCCAAGGAAGAGTGCGGTTCCCAGCCGCCAGAGACCGGGCCAGAGACACCCAGCAGCTCGGCGAACGTCAAGCCGAGTCACGCCGACCCTGTTAAAAGCTTTGTGCAAAGGTAGAGACAGACGGGCCTAAATCCCGAGCTGGGAGATCTGAATGCGCAGAGGGGCGAGCCGCCGCTTCCAGCCCTGAGCGCCTCGGCTTGATAGACCTCGACCAGGGTCTGGCAAAGTGTGTTTATTCAGTTCAGCCGAATGCTGCAGTATTGAAGAGCACTTCCGCCCATCAAGCGACAGCTTTCCGAAGGAGTGCAAAGTCGGACATGGCGAAGCTTTGCGCTGAAACGGCTGCTTGCAGGGAGTAACTCGCCAGCGAGATCACTAAAGCACGCATGTAGCTGGAGGCAGTTTGTGTGTTGAGTTGGAAACTGCCACCATCTGCAACCTTTGCAGGCAGTGCGAAAGAATGCTGTTTGCTCAGCTCTGGTGTGCGACTGCTTGCTGGGTTGTTGCCGGTTTGCCGGGCATGCAAAGGACGGAGAGGGCGCACGAGCAACGTGACCGGCTGCATGCCACAAGTCAGAAGTTGTCGGCGCAGGACACGACCAATTGTGATTCCTTGAAAGAAAACGGCAGAAGGGTTCCGGTCCTGGATGTAAGGCTGGATTCGGGGCGCGAAGACCAGAATCAAATTTCCAATTGGACTTTGGATGTGTTGTCGTCTAGTGGGGATTTGGTCTACGTGTCTGTGTGTGTGTGTGACTTTGTAATCGCTTTGTGGGACCCCCGCTCGAGAGGGTCGGAAGTATCCACAGACGTGGTGGGGGTAGCATTGCATGGGGGAAGGCGGCTCTTTGAGGCCACATGGTTTTGAGGCCCAGTACTTCTTACCCGACAAACCAAAGTGGCAGGACATTCCGGGCATGGTGGATCAGCCGCCCCGTGGCAAAGGCGGTGGAGTGAATGGACCATCGTGAGCAGGTCGGCACGCCTGCGCCTTGCAGGTGAGTCAGGGGTTTTCCAGCCCAATGGCCCGGGACAGGCCTTCGAACAGTCGAAGCACCCGATTTCTTGAGCAGCTGCATGGTTGAGTGAGTTTGGTGATGGTGGGAGCGGTGCAGCCTGCCTGCACAGGCAGCATCGAAGGCCCGGCTGCTTCTGTCGCCAAACCCGGCGAGGTGTGGCTGCATAATCGCCTGTGCAAACCATGTGCTGCGGAGATGACGAGATGTGAGGCCAGATCTGTCGCCGACTAGATCAGATGTCGCAGCCTCGGGCGATGTGTGTAGAGCTTGCAAATCTGATTTAGTCTGATGAGGCATCGATTGCCGAATTGCTTGTTGAAAAACGTCAAAACTGAAACACATGGGCCACACGGATAAGCCTCGAAGAGAAGTTATTTGTGGGTGAGCCACGGGACAGCCCCGAGAGTGGTCTTGGGGCCAACAGACTCTATCAGACTCTATCAGCTTGAGGCGCCACATAAAAATGTCGGGCATCACCCAACTCTTAGGCTAGCGCGAGCTCACAAAATGCTAATCGCGAAGCCTGGCTGATGACACTTTGTCTCGACGAAAACCTGAGATGAGGAAGACGTGGGATACAATGACAGGCATTGACCCATCAACAGCAAGATGTCGGGGCTCTTGATGCACAAATCTTCAGGAAGCCGGCCGCGAAGTGACTATGCCGTGAGGCCGTTTTCTATGTCCACCCTAGGCCCTAGGCTCCAGGCACACCTATTTTTCGAACTGCTCAAAGCTCGGGAACAGAATGTGGTGAAGCCAGAGTATTTGCGAGTCGAGGTCTCACGCCATGACTGTTCAGCCGGCTTTCGATGTTCAACTTCGATTCGAGCTATACTATGGTGATCATCACCACTGGCAACAGTGGCAGTACAGAGCATGAAAGCGACTCTCCGAGCGCCTTCTCGCATGAGGCCAAACGAAGAAGCGTAAGACTCGTAAGCACTGGGCCAATCTTTTCTCGTCGCCTCTTCGCTCGCTCCCTCTCTTTCCGTCTCCCTTTTTCTCCCCTTTTTTCTCTGTTCAGGGTCCAGGGTTTGGGGTTTAAGGTTTTACACAGGGCTAGGGTCTGGGGTGCACCTATCTTTCCTTGCTTCTCTCTCTGATTCTCTCGGGCACTGAATGGCTCCAGGCCGGTGCCAGCTCACCTCGCTTGGAGGAAGCGCGGACGTTGCTCTCCAACATACGTCCAGGCCCTGTGCTCGTGCCGTGATGTGCTGAAATTTCACTGACAGGAACTGCACTTCCATTTTATTCGGAACGGTATCACATCCATCAGCGCATGAAGTACTAACCCTGGTATAGTCTAGTGTATGTCACGGTACTAAGACACTGAGAACCGTTGGGAGCATGCTTAGGTCCACCCATGAGCTTTTCAAGCTGTGTCCTGCGATTGGTGCATGTTGCCAGTTCACAGGCGGTGCTGTGCTAGAGACTGCGAGCAAGGTGCCGGCGCAAGGGCGGGCGGAGGGTGTTTCTGGAATGAAGCTTCAAGCGTGTTTCGGCCAGGATCGTGGTCGTCCATCCCGAAAAGTCCAATTTGGTGCAGCCGTCAAGGACTTTTGGCGCTGCGATTGCGTTCCAAACCGAGTGGCACCTGCAATTATGTGGCAGAGGCACTGTTGTTCTAACATCATCGAATGCCTCGAACATCGAAGCATTTCTGCTTTGCATCGCTGTTAAAAGAACACTGTCGCCTGAAGCCAACGGCCATGCATATGTTCATTCCTGCCTCGTCTGACACTCTCCAATGGCAAGTAGTGCACGACGGTAATCTCTCCCTCTCTCTTTGTCTCGCGCGCCCGCTTTCTACATACATATATTCCAGGGCTGCGCCCACGGGCGGGCAGCGCAGGTGGAAGCCCGGAGCAAGGCCACCCACCCGCCCCCCCCTTCGCGGAACCCCACTGTTGCTGATGATGTGCGCCCTGTGCGGGCTTCCGCCAACTCACTCAAAAAATGGCAAAAAATCGCCTCGCGCTGCAGGGCCGTTGCGGTCGCGCCGAGTTCTCATGATGCTCGCCGGCTGGGTTCTTGGGTTGGTCCACGGGGGCCCCGAAACCTGCCATAAATGCATGCGTGTTCCGAAAGGCCTCCAGGCGAGGTCCCGTGCTGCCCGGTGTCCGATGAAGCAGGGTCGGCGGAACTGCACGTCGCGCCTTTTGCTAAAGCAAAACAGCTCTGCCCGATTTAATGGCTGCCGCGAGTGCCGCCGACCCCTGCAGAGCAAGAGACCCTTGGAAAGAGCAAGAGCACACAGTGCGGCCTGCCTTGGGCTATGTAGTGGGACGTGGTCGCAGAAGTTGTAGGGGAATGCGGAGTTGGGCCTGGGGCAAGTGTTCGGAGGAAAGGGTCCACTGGAGGCGCTGAGGGGTCTGAGGGGTCGCAGGGGTCAGGGGGGCACGAGGGTTCCCCCGTGCATTTTCAGTTGAGTCATTTTCGCCCATTTGTTCCGTTGGCTTTCCCTAACTGCAAGCAACATGACGAACAGCAGGCGGGGGAGCAGTGGCATCAGGAAAATGCAGAAAAGAAGGAGCAAACAAAAAATGAAAGAGCCTCATAATACCCGAAAATGACGATCTGGCAGGAATGGATGTTGCACGATTTGAGCGCTGTCTAGGAGAAGTCGTCGTCACCGCGTCCATCCCCGCGCGAGACGAGATCTGCCAGGAAACCTGTCCTGGCCTCGGGGACCCGTAGGTGTCGTTGTGTAAATACGTACACATGTATTTCCCAGCTATCTGTCCACTTATCTAACTGTCTACTTATTTATCCATCCATATATCCATCCAGCCATCCATCTGTCTATAATGTGCGCCCTGCAGAAGGTCGTGGTCCAGCAGCCGCAGCTTCACCTGGCCCCGGGCAACTCATGCGCGGAGGCCTCGAAGACTGTTCCCGGAGGTTGCTCCAACCCTTCTTCGGCGACGATTTGAGGCTCCGATCCGAACCTCAGCCTATCCGCAGAATCTGCCGGAGGAGGCGCTCCTGCCTCTCGCTGAGCATTGTTTGCATGCCGTGCTGGCCTGGAGAGCACTTCTACTTCTAGAGCCAACTTGGGCGTTCCGATGCTCTCTTTTCACAGTTGCGCAGCCCAAGCCAGGCAGGCAAAGTGCCTCCACTGGCGCCGGCTGGTGAACCTTGCAGAGAGCAGGGAGGCGACAATGAGCGCCTCGGAGGAGACTCGTTGACTAGAGCATCGACTGCCCTGCGCTTTGAAACGGAATCCCCTTTTCTGGAAGTTGGCTGTTGAGGTCCGAGGCCTCGACCCCTCGGCAGGGTGCAAGCGAGTCCCTGGATGGGGCCGGGGGCACAGCCAGGACCCTAAACTCCTAAACCCTAAACTCCTAAACCCTAAACCCTAAACCCTAAACCCTAAACCCTAAACCCTAAACCCTAAACCCTAAACCAGCCAGGCGTGCTTCATGGATTTTTGTCTGCCCTCGGCCCTCAGGTGCTGACCCTGTTGGGGGCCAGCCTCGACCTCTGCCCTTACGACGAGGAGCCAGGCCGAAGATGAGCTCCATATATCATATATTCATATATATATATATATATTATATTATATATTATATTATACTATATTCTATTATATTATATTAAATTAAATTATATATTATATATATGTATGTTATATATATATATATATATTATATATATATATATATATATAATGTTATATTATACTATATTATACTTCATGCCCGCACCCCCTTTCTGCACGGGACGCTGGAGCTGAGACTCTGTGGCTGTCTGTGGCTGCAGGCGAGCATGGTTCCGCAGCCGCTGCTTGACTGAAGCTGCAGTGGTTGACAGTCTCATATGTAGTAGTGGCTAGTCATACATGCATACATACATACATACGTACATACATACATACATACGTACATACATACATACATACATACATACATACATACATACAGGTACAAGTAATATATAGTGCAATATGTGTTATGAAAATAACCAAATATAGATGTATGCATGTCTGTCTGTCTGTCTGTCTGTCTGTCTGTCTGTCTGTATGTATGTATGTATGTATGTATGTGTTACATACTTGTATACATATATACTTCTTAATAACATGTCAATGCAATGTATAATATCGCAGCCTTGACCGCTTCACAGGATGGCCCGAACCAGCAGAACGCCAGGCAGAGCTTCCGTGGCACACGGAGTTGTGTTTGCAGTTGTCAGCCTTCTGGAACAGCAAGATATCCAAAACGATAAAGCTACAACATACCATGGCATCTAAATGATTTCTTCTTCTGATGACATCAGCAGCAGTGGTTGAATCTATGTGTTCAGTCATAAAACCTTCCACACCCTCCACCTTGCGTCACAGGCCGAGACGAAATCAGACACCATACACAGTTTTTTAGGCATCAGGGCACGGGCAAGGAACTTGAGAAGCCGTGCTTCTACGCTTTTCGGGAGGGAAGAAGACTAGAAATATAGTTGAACAGCATGTAAAAACAACAGGACCGCTTCTTCTTAAGCTCCTACAAACAAAACCTGACTTTTAGCCGGATCGTCAGAAGTCTGCAGCTGCCCCAGCCACCAGTTCGTCAATGGGGCCTGCAAGCTACAACAGCGGCTTTGTGCGAAATTAGGCTATCCGCCATCAACACAGCACTAGCCGTGCTAGCAGTGAAACAGAGGGAGGCAAGCGCGTGTGGGTAAAAATGCGATGACGCCAACAAAAAAGAGCCAAGATGACGAAGCTTCTAGTTCGGCCTAGCTGTGCTTACTGCCTTCAACGAAATCCACACTGCTTATGCCTTGCACATGTCTTCGATGAAAGAAGGACGTGCAAGCAGGGGCCGATTTGCACACACCTTGCTGCTGGTCTGCGTATCGCCACAATTTCAAAAGGCGCAGAACCGACTGGCAAGTCCAAGTGCATGTGAGCACGGAAGTGCATTCAGTGGCAAGCACGCCTCTGATTCACAGCAGCATCAAGGCACATTTCATAGCATGTAATGCTGTCTGCTTACGGTATCATGGCATGCTTTGCTTTAGGTCCAGCAACTTTCCGTAGAGCCCCCTGCTCAGGGTGCAGGTGTCCGCAGAGAGTCCGTTCAGCCACCAGAGCATCGGCACTCCCTGCAGTGTGGACAGTTCGAAGCTTGGCTAAGCCTGAAGCATGAGAGTCACCAGGTGCTGCGGACGATTTGCGGTTTCGCGATTATGTCCACATGCACGCAAAGCAAACGCGGTACGTGCAACCATGTCATATTCAAAGCTACTGGAGGGCTAGCGTCTGTCGACAAGAGGTCATGTTGTAGCACTTGGGGAAGCTACTGTTGAGTGATCGCTGAGGAACAGCTCCTCCAGCAAGAACCGCTTTTCTCACAAGCGCTGTCGCACATATCCGGCAGCTCAGAGTGAACCCGAGGAGGTGCCCTGACTGGTCACAGCAGTTCCTTCAGACTTGATTTGAAGACTTTGATAGTTGGAGGTCTCCCCCACGTCCAATGGCACAGCCGACTCACCAGGCTCAGATTTCGCAGAAGGCCAGGACATCAGCGTCGCCTACAGTTGAGCCTAATGCTGTTGCAGTGATTCCACTGAGTGTCGAAGATCTTCAGGCAGGTCACGTCGAGGCCTTTTCCGTGGACCTCATGGGCAAGGCAGAGAGCCGGAATTCATCGAAACGGTTCTCCAACCCTCAGCCCAATCCCTAAGTTCCTGAAACACTTGTGAGAGCGTAAATTCCTGAAACACTCGAAACCAACCCTAAATTCCACCCTCGAAGCGCCTTTGCGGTTATTGCCTTCTGAAGGTCGCATCGTGACGGCTTCTCTTCCACCCGGTCGAGAGAGGCAGATGATGTGGGAAGGGCTCCATATAATGTAGCATAAGATACTCTCTCCCTCTCTCTCTGTCTCTCTCTCTCTCTCTATATATATATATATAATATGCATATATATATATATATATGTATGTATGTATGTATACATAGAGAGAGAGAGAGACTATAGTGATACCACACTACACCTTTCTTGCAATAATTTGCCATACCATACCATCATAGACCATATTCTTCTATGCTATACTAGAGCAGAACACAACATGTAGCATAATATGTTATGCGATGCGATGCGATACTATAAAAACCATATAGCAGAATATCTTGTTCTATACTACGCCATGCTATGCATACTGTCTTTTGTGATAGCCCAGCAGGGGACATGAGCTTATGTGCAATGGAAGAGCATGTAGTCGGCGCGTCATGCGTATCTGCCCCATCATCAATGGTAAACGTTTATGCAAGGTCTCGGCGGCTGGATGGTCGGGAATTTGATGTCATGGAGCCTTAGCCGCAGACAGTCTTTACTAAGAGCACGCTCCAGCTTTGAGACAGCTGTGCAGCGACACATCTAAGGGCACTTTGAGCCTGTTCACCCCGCAGCCGACCAGTACAACATTGGCCACACCTGTTGTGGAGGAGCAGGGTCATGATTACAACATGAGGGTATGTGTGCCTGCCGGTGTGATGCTGTGAGGACAGCACAGCAAGCGCTGAGAAATGTAGCCTAGCTCAATATCGCAGAGGCTTGTTGCTTCATCGGCAAGTGGACTTTCAGCAGGGGATGAGAGGTGTCTGCACAACATGAGATCCAATCCGTTTGGTCAAAAAGTCGCAAGACATGCTCAGGCGACAATCTTTTCGAGGCTTTCTTGGCAGCAGTCTCGGCTTGTCATTGGCTGCAATGTGGGTCTGGGCTTCGTTTTGTTGTTCGCCCGGAGGCATGCCAAATGCCTGCCAGAAGAAGCCACGTTTCTGCTGTGAGGTTATTGATGTCGCAGACACAGATGAGTCTCAAAAACAGCCATCGAACAGGGCAAGGTGCCCAGCTGCATCCAGGCAATCGGCTTGTTTGCACTGGGTCGTGCGACGCAAGACGGGCCAGTAGCGGAGGGGTTGATTTTGGAAAACGAGGCAAAGAGCCGGCGCAAGACGCGCTTGGCTTCACTTGTCCCAGGACATGGCAAAAGGGATTTCGATGAGATGTCTCGAGCATAGCTTGAAGCCTCAATCATTGCTTCGTGGAGCTGGATTGGGATTCAGAAGTCGTAGGAGGCCCATGAAAGTCTGCACTCCCTGTGCATTGCCAATTCCTTCTTGTAATGCGGACGAGATCCTGCTTTCTCGTCGTTCAGAACGAAGACTTCCGTCAAGGGCCTTCTGCATCAACATGTCGCCAGGACTTGAGAAAAGTGATGTTCGGATGAGATGGCCGACAGAGTCTGGTGCTTTGGAGCCTTGGCTTTGGCTTCCGGCGAGCAGCTTGTGCTTATTGGGATGCTACGCCGCTCTCAGGAGAGCTTTCTGGTAGAAAAGGGTTTCTGCCCAGGCCCGGCGTGGCACCGGCGTTTGCAACCTTTTCAGCTTATCACCGTGCCTTCTATGTGTTCGGCAGGTCCTCTGGACTACCGCTTCAATGGACAAGCTTTCGTGTTGACGGTGCTGGCACAAGTGCTGAACCCGCATCTTGGTTGAACGTCCAGAGCTCCGGCCCCTGCCTGGATCCCGTGCACCAGGAAGGCGCATCCGAGCGATCTGCTCTTCTGTTGCGTGCTGGCCTTGGAGACATCTTTACTGGCCTTATCTGGCCTTCGTAAGGGCGGAGGGGGTCGGGCGGAAGCGAAGTACTCGCGCGTCCCGTTGAGGTGTGCAGCGAGGACCTGAGAAGTTCGGCCCTCCCAGCAGATCACCGGCTGCTTGAGAGGGATGCGGAGGACCGCTAGGGATTGCTGAACCTTGCCCAGCTGAGAGGAAGCTTTCCATTTCTGCGACTCTTCTTACTCTGACCTTTCTAATTCGGATGATGATCATGGTCATCACAAGTCCGGTGGTCGTCATCACCATGCGATATCACCAGGAGCAAGAAGTATCTCGCAGCCAAGCGCAGAGAGAGCCTTGACTGAAGCTCCGCGGCTCCCTGCCCGACGCAAAAGGGCTTGTGACAGTAACTGCATGGCACCAGGACGACGACGATAATATGATGCAGCATATCCCAGACGGAGGTGTGCTTTGTTTAGCCGCTGCGCTGAAGAGACACTTGTGAGGCACAAGCAAGACCAGAACAAAAGGCAAAAACCCCCGTTTCCGAGGTATCCAAAATACCCTTTTTTGACTTCAGCTTCACTTTGCTCGAGATCTTCCGGCAGAATCTTCAGCAGGCGGACGTGTTGCTACTTGCAGACTTGCAGAGTGCTGTCTACTTGAGTTCTACTTACTATAGTTTTCTAGTAGCTGTTTAGTGCGGTCCGGGCACGCGAGGCCCCCGCCATCCTTGAACGCCTGAATCGGGCTGGGATGGAGCGTTTGGCCCTGCGCGGAGTCGATGCCGCTCAGCCAGATCATTCCCAAACATTCCCGAAAGACATAGCTGCCAAGAACTCGCGCTTCTGATTAGGTGTCGGACCTCCTGCAGACTCCGCGCGTCCTTTGCCTATCCAAGATGTCCCAGCAGATGCCACCGAAGACCCCGGGCCGCATGTGGAAAGTGTTGGTTGGAAAGCTTCCCAACTGGGTGACAATCCGTCGACCCTAGAGGCCCTAGAGCCATCTCTGCAATCCGAGGTTGTTGTCTCCAGGCTGTGAGTGGTCTCACTTCAAAAACTTGAGCAATGCAGAGACGTGCAGCCCTCTGGCCCATACCTTCGGAAGGCAGAGCACAGCCCGAAGACAAGTAGCCTGGGATGTAAGGGCCGCGACAGGTGGACGGTTTGGTGGGGCCTCTTCACGCTGCTCACACGCTGGGGTGAGAAGCTGCTGGAGGTGGGGAGGGCCGTGGCTTTGGGGGCTCGGTCGTGGTGTTTGTGCTGAGGTGGTCTTGAAGCTGCTGCCCTGCGTGCTCCTCGAACAGCAGGCCCATCCTCGCAATCAGGGGAGATGGGCTTTTTGGACGCAGCGATAAGAGCTTATGCACATCTTGAGGACTGCGACAGGGTTGGTGGCGCATGTCAGGTTAAGGTGTGTGTGTGTGTGTGCACTGCAAAGACTGTTGGATACATAGGGCCGGGACTGCGCCCGGCAGGGCTCTCAACTCGCAAGCATGGCCGACCTTGGTGACTGGCTTTGGGTTTTCATGAGTGCCGCACTCTCCGCTTCCACCTCTTCCTTGCCGAGTGTGGCTGACAACTTACCTTCTTCGTGGGGTCATTTCGAAACCTTCTGCGCGGTTTTCGATTTTCACGTGTGTCACACAGCCCAGACCTGCTTGTGCAGCACTTTTGCAGGTGCTGCTGGTCGGTGATGCGCAGCGAGCATGTGTGGTGGCTCTACTTCTGCGTGGTTTGCAGCGGCCTTGCTTTCTTGGAAACCGGCAGAACTTGGCGGCTCCGCAAGCTCAGGCTCTGGCCCTTTCGCTGGCAGCACCCCTTCGTTTGTGCACCACTTCCGCCGGAAGCACTCCGAGAGCTGCCACTTCTGGCCGGGTAAAAAAAGGTGCCGAGAGGCTTTGTGCTGTGAGCCGGCTGTCAGGAAGCCACGATGCCGATGATCATGGCCTTCGGGGAGATGCCAATGCTGAGCCACTTCTGGGGCACTGGCCTCTGTGGCGGGCCGAATGCGGCTGAGAACGTATTTCTGAAGTGTCAGGCTACGACACGGTGTACCGGCTACCCCCAAGCATCGTTGCGGGCGTTCTCCGCAACGAGTGGGCTGGAACCTGAGGCTGCCTGAGGACGAACATCCGACCGTCGAGCCTTGTCTGGCCTCAATCCGGCGGTAGCCCCAATAAGGTATACATCAGCGACAAGCTGGAGACTGTTGGTGGTTTATCAGGACGCTCAGCTCAAAATCCTACGTCGCAAAGCCAATCAAGCGGTGGCTGTGCAGGCAGCAGCATCAAACTCCCAAGCTTTGTGCAGACGGCACTGCGGAATGAAATAAAGGAGGCCACTGAAGCTGTGAGCCTGTTACGCTCGGGCTCGCTCTCCACGCCTCCTTTCATGTCCAGCATGGGTCTGGCCGTGTACTTTTGCAGGCCAGACGCAGCTTCCGCCAGTCTTCACAGAAGCTCCAGGCATTGCTGGAGATTGTTCCGAAGGCTCCTTGCCACATCTGCAGAATCTTCGGAGCCGAGCTTCGCTGGTTTCGAATCTTGAGGTTCACGAGGCAGTGGAGGTGGCCATGCACAAGCTGGCTGATTTGGTGAAGAGCTATGCCAAGAGTGGCTCGGTTAAATCTGGGTTTTCATGTCAAGCCTCAGCAAGGGGCACGGTTACAGCACCGGACATCATGCATGCAGAATCTTCGTGACAGGGTCTCAAAAGTTCTACCTGCCCAGGTCAAGTGGCAGAGCTGCAGAACGAGGTCCAGAAGCTCAGCTGTTGCATGCGATGCTTGCAGTGATTTTCGCCTAAAACGCTACTGGAGCTTCTCGATCGACACGTAAGGTGGGCTCATCCAACGAGGAGCTTTGCGAGAAATGTTACCAGAGGGCACTCAAGGTCGAAAGGCTGGGGGCTGGCAGTCTGCGGAATGATGTAAGCTCTTTTCCCAGATTGAGTGGGTCAGCTCAGAGGTGGAGGAGTGCCTTGAGTGTGCCTGAGCCTCTTGCAGGTTTGTGCAGTGGCTTTGGGCCAATCAAGATGCTTACGGATGCCCGGAGCCCGTGAGCCCCTCAGCAGATGGCCGTGAGTTGGAGTGAGAGTTGTGTTTTGCGTAAACGTCGCTATCACCGTTGTCACCGTCGTCGTCGTGGTCCGAAGCCATTATCCCGAAATGATCAAGTAACAAATGCCGACGACGAAGTCCAAATTCAGGCTTGGCACTCGTCTTTTGAAGTTTGCGAATGTCCATCGACCTTGCCCTGTCCATGTCGAAATTGGTCCCGGAAGCAAGCCCTGTGGCCTGTGGCGACGACGTGCCTGCAAGATTTTTTCCAGCAGCCTGTCTTCCGAACTCCAATCTGTAGTGGCTTGTGCGCAGGTGGGGTTCTACACGACCTTCTTGCAGACTCAGTGCTTCATGAGTTTGTTGTTCGAGGACCTCGGGACAGAACATGACCCCGGGTTTCAGCCCTGTCGAGAGGTAGCTGAATACTCCCCATTGCTTGCCTGTAGCCCCCATGCTGCTTCCCATGCCTGCAAGAAGACGATGCCCGTGTCATGTTTGCAAGAGTGGCGGGGCCGGGACGGCACTCTACCCAATGAAGCGGTCTGAAACGTAGGAAATCTCAGCCGAAGTTGGCTCCGGAGAAGGGGAAGGCAGTCTTTCGAGTTGCTTTTGGGCGTGGCATTGCTGTGCTTGGCAGCAGGCCGTTGAGACATAGCAGGCCATCAGCGACGAGCGAAAACGAACAGGCGGACATCATTGAGATGGCCTAGCCTTTTTTGCTGCACTTTCTATGTTCTGCTTACTTCAAAGAAGAAGCCACAGTGTTCTAGACAGGGGCTGCAATGATATCTTCACCATGAGCCTTGTATCCACGAAGTGCATGTTCGCAGGGCGAACGGTGTAAGCGCCCTTGACTAGCATTTATTTGTTAATTCGTTTTGGGGGCATGGTATCGGCATTAGCACCGACTGCTATTTTGGTCCTCCCTCACATGAGGGCGACCCACAGCAGCCATGGCCACCAACTTGTCATGCACAGGTCTGAGATTTGTCCAGGTAATTCATGCCGACTCGTTACAGGAGCAGCATCGTTTCCAGGGTACTGTTTGGAGAGATAGACACCCTAAACCCTAAACCATAACATCAACCAAGACAGGCTGTCAGAAGGCAGAATGCGGCTCCGAGTTTTCATGCTTCCTCCGGGCAGGCTGCCTTGAGCCTGCTGGGGTCAATTGCTCGACCGCTAGGAGAGAATCATAGCAGATGTCATAGCGCATCTTCAAGAGCGTGCGAGAGCTCACAAGGCTTCTTTGCAAGTACCGTAATGATGCCGTTGAGTCCGTGGGTTCTGCAAGCATGTCGTATAATGGTTACTACTGTACACGGCGCAGCTTTTGCAGCGTTTGCTTTGCCTGTTTTGTGGCTCGCCAGCTGATTTTACAGGCGTCGCTCCATTAGACATATAATCACAATAGGAATAGTAGCGATAACTCCATTAGACATGGCGGCCTTTAGCCGCAAGCGGCCTGCAGCTCGCCAGCCAGGCCAGCGCACGAATGACCAAAGCTGTGAAAGTTGACTAAGGTGTCTCGGGTGCTCTGTTCCGCAGGAAGTGGGAAACAGACGAAAAAATCTGCGAATGGTCCCACTGCTAGCAAGAAGGCGAACCTTGCTTTCACGCTCAAAGTTGAGTCGGAGATCATGCTTGCGGATCGATGTAAAAGCACTGGGTCAGGCAATCTTCGTTTGTGCGACTGGTGCAGGTGGAGGGCGCTCGCGGCAGACACTTGTCTACAAACGCAAACCCTTTTGCCACCGATTTTGCTTTTTGTTTTGGCTCTGCTAAAATATGCTGAGAAAGCCCAGCTGTCTTCGATTGCACAGAGGATGCTGCTTCGACAATTTGGCTGCTTATCAAAATTAAACCGTTTCGCCATGCTTTGAGTGTTTCGCCGTGTATTGTATGTTGAAGCCTTGGTGCTTTGGTGCCATGTGAAAGTTCGTATCTCGCAGGCGACCTCCATCAGATGTCATTTCGCGGCACGCCGAATCTAACCACTGCTCCTAAGAAGAATTAGTCTGATTGACTTTCGCATGGCCATTGACACCGGTGATAAGCCCCGCTTGTCTTGAACAACAAGCCCGGAAGAAGGCCAGTATGGTAAAGCCTTTCAGTCCAAGCTCGTTAACGAGCTGGCGAAAACGATAGAAGATTTTTGGGAAGCTGCTGCCGGAGGCACTGTCCAGGTGTATCTCACACATGCACGGCGCTGCTAAGGCAGAGCGGGAAGCGCCTTTCCTGCAGCAGATGGCAGAGGCTGCGCAGGCAGCTGCCAAGAAGTCGCCCTCCAGGCCGCTGCCATTCTAACCCTAAGCCCTAAACCCCATTCTTGGAAGCCCCTTTAGACAACCTCGCCTGTGAGCATAGTTCTCTGCCATGCGAGACGGAAAAAAAAACCCATTCTGCATTGAACCTCGCTTGTGAGCATAGTAGAGGGAAAAAAAAGCACCCATTCTGTCCGCACCGCAGCGACTCTCCCTTTGTGCCCTGGGCCAAGGCCGCTGTTTCTCGTGGGCCACTCGTTTGGCGCACGGGCAGCTGTGCACCTCATGTGCCGCAAGGACCTGGACTGACCGATCTTCTGCTGTGTCCCTATCCCTACGAATTTGGTCCTCTATCACGCACTTTGTGCTGGATTGCCACACCATCGGCTTGAATTCTGAGGATTTTCGCCAGCAGCTGCCAAAGAGCTGTAAAGGTATCATTGCGCTTCTTGGATGTCTATACACACAAGCATGGCTTTGAAGGGGGAGCTGGCATACCATGGCATTAAGAGAAATGTCCGTTTGGTTGTTCGCTGTCGCACTGCTTGACATCTGACCTGCGCAGGTTCGGATATCCGTTGATTCATCCGATGCAGCAGCGCAGCTGTGATGCAGTTTTGAAAATCCTGACGAGCACCCCAGGACTCATTGACGGGGCGCTGTGTAACAGGGGCAAGTCAAGCCATCGTCGTGGTGACCACGTCGTGAGGCCAAAACAAATGCAACAACATGCGTCGCAGAGCAAGGTGAGAAGAAGCTGATGGAACTCCCTGCGAGTTCCAAGGTGGGCAAGAGCTACAGTTCAGCATCAGAAGGTTAAAGAAGAGCTGCGATCAGCGATGGCTGTAGTGCTTGGAGGCGTTGTTTATCTCGGGCACCAAAGATCCCTTTGCTGGCAACTTCAAGCTCTTCGAGACAGCGCTTCAAAAAGCAAAGTGTAAACACCGCTTGGCAACTCGGCGAGTACGGAGCCAGGCAGCCGTCAAAACAGGCTCCTGGCGAAGTTCCTGTAGCGTTATATATCAGTGACAAAATTCTGACTGGAAGGCTTTCTAGGTGTCTGGCCAATAAGGTCAAAGTGCTCGGAGGTGATCATGGACTGAAGTGTTCAAAAGCCATGGAGGAAGAGACGGTCTCAACAATTTGTGAGGCAGTGTCCCGCTTCGTTTAGCGGTAAGTTTAACAACGGATGAGCCGGCCGTGGTGCATATCCAGCTGCATGTGTTGCTCGGACAGTGCGATCCCGGCTGGTCGATATCCCCGTGGGTTGGCATCGGGAGTCCAAAAAAATGCGCTTGGGGGGTCAACACTCTTCCAAACAAGCTTGTGCTCTTTTGCAGACCCAGCAACGCGGGGTTCATATAGAAGGGTGCCGGCATGTCAAGCACCGTCGCCAGGCTTGAGAATAGATACTAGATGATTCAACCTAATCAGATCCCATTGCCAGTGCCACGCCCACCAGCTAGCCCGTGAAGCTGCCATGACACTTGCAACACGTCCCCAAACTACGCAAGCAGTGACAGAGAACTTTGGCAGTTCAAGCTCCGCATAAGCAAGAACGAGTCCAGTCCGGTTGCGAGAGCGTAAACCTTTCCAGACGGGTCGGAATCCCTATAAGCTCCCTTTTCTTAAAGCCCTTAGCTAGGTTCCTTGTCCTGAAGCTCACACATGTCGGGAGCATTCCGGTAAGCTGGAAAGATTGGCTCCTTTGACGGAGCATGCTCGGAAGCCGAAGCCGCTTGGACAGCGAAGGCGTTAACAGGGTTTCAGGGTTAGTACCTGAAAGGGTTTTGGCTTAGTTATAGGGTTCAGGGTTTGCGGTTCAGAATCTGGGCTGTGAGAGACTGAGAGACCTTAATAGCCTTGATGCGGCTAACTGGAGTGCAGACAAACCGTTCCCTAAAAACCAATTATTCATCCATAGCCTTGCATGTTGCCTGTGTATGCCCTTGAACTTTTCCTTACTGCTTGGGGGTCGAACTTTGGATGGCGGTTAATTGTCTCCCTGCAGTGCCGCGCAAGGGTTTTTCGCCGAGCTGGGAGGGTCCGGCATTATGGTCGGATAGATCTCTTCACTTCGGGAGGCGACTCCGAGCGTGAAGGGAGAAAACTCCTCCCTTGAATTCAATCTGGGCCTCAACGGTGACCTGTCTCGGACGCATTTTCCCCACCCGGTCCGTCTAGGCTGTACACTCTAAGCCCTCTCTGCCCTAAAAAAGCCCGAAGCCCCAAATCCGTAAAACCTTGCGCCCGAAGCCTGCCGAAGCTCTAAAGCATCCTAAAGCCTTGCCCAGCAGAGCACTCTGCTTGAGGATGTGCCGGCGTGATGCTCGTGAGCCCCGGCTATGGAATGCTATGGAAGAATTAGGTATAGGGGCAAAAGGGATATGGGTCACAGGATGCTAGGCAGGTTTAGGATTTGGGGCATGGCTTCGGGCTCCTTGGGTCTGCAGAATTAAACTAGAGAGTGCACCTGATGCAGCCTTTATGACGCCGCACAAGTGCCGCACATCAGCATTACAAATGCAGAGTCCTACTGTGGTTCGGGGACCATGCATTAGCTGTGAATTGGAAAAAATAGCATGGGAGGGGTATGGCCATGTTTGCACCAAAGTGGGCATCAGTGCTTCTTCAGCGAGGACAGTACTGACCTGGACGCTTTCCTGGGCACAGTTGCCTCTGGGAGCAGGAGGCCGATGCCAGCTCATGAGAGAAGTCTTCACGCTCTGGCACCGTGTGTCAGGTCTTCCGAGCTCGGGCGGAGGCGGGTTAGGTCTCGGCTTTGGCACAGGGGGTTCTCCCCCAGCGAGTGGCCTGGGCCTGGGCACGCCTGGGCTAGGTTTGCCGGCTAGCACTGGCTTGGGGCCGGGTGTGCCCACAGGCAACTTGAATGGTTGTCTGGGTGGCGGTTGCCTAGGTGGGAGTGGCATCGGTGGGGGTGGCTTTGGTGGTGGCTCGGGCGGCTTGGGTGGTGGCGGCGGCTTCGGCTTAGGCAGTGGCTCAGGCTCAAGCGGCTTCGGTGGTGGAGTGGGTGCAGGTGGTTTGGGTGGTGGTTTAGCAGGTAGCATGGGTGGCTTAGGAGCCCCGCCTCTGGGCGGAGGAGGCGGCCTAGGTGGCGGTTTGGGACTTGGAGCAAGCGCTGGATTCGGTGGATCTCCGGCCGCAAGCTTCGGAGGCCACACGAGCAATGCTGGATAATGCTGGTGTGCGTTAGCGTCCATCTTCGTTCTTGCATGCTAGGCAACCAGCCGGGCAGCACTGCGAATGCTGTTCCTGGCTTTGGTGCTCTTGCAGGAATGGGAGGAGGAGATATTCCGTTGGCAGGCACCTGCCCAAAATGAGTCCGGCAGTTCTTGCCGAAATGCTGTTCTGCCGAAGGTGGCACATCGTCTCCCTCGCCAATGTTTTCCAAGCTTCCCAGCGACCCGAGCACATTGCACCAAGCCTTTCACTATGCAGACATTGCAGCCACTCGCCCTCGAAATCAGGATCTTACCTGTGGAACATGTGCAAGACTGAGACTGAGATGTATGACAACTCGAGGCATTCCTGTTGCAGCCCCCCGCGCCGCATTCCATTCAAGACTGCCGCGAGCTTTGCGAGCGAAACGAGAGCTGTGCGGCCTGGGAGGCTCCTTGAAGCGACTCCGATACATGCAAAGCCATAAGTCAAACACACGTATAGCAAGCTTGACGGCTCAGTCCCTTTCAAAGCGGGAAAGCTTGCGGAGAGGTCTGCGCTCCGTTGGGTGATGGTTGTGATGGTTGCTGCTCGGCGTGACTGACAGGATCAGCCGGGTTACTTTTGGATTTGCATCAAGCCACAAAAGCTTTGCGGAGATTCACATGTGCGATGTGTGCAACGGGCACGAGCTCTGTCCGCCTTCTTTCTCAGAGGAAGCATTTTTGCGGATGCCCTTCACCCAACTGTTGCACGCAATTTGGTGTCATGTGAACGGTTGACACCTGGAGCATCATTTACGACGATAGGGTTGGCGATTTCGAGGAACCAGTACGGTCTGGAAAGTTTTTCAGACTGAGGGAGAAACAGACCAAACAACGCCGCAACACAGACAACCGGTCAGCCCACTTCCATCGATGCATGGAAGTTTCGTTTTCCGAGCTGTAGCTTTGATGAGGCTACCTCGTATCCCGCGCTCCTCGGCGTTGGGATCAGCGCCAGGGTTGGCACGCAGAGATTCTGCCAGGCGGGAGTCATGACCGACTGATGGCAGAGCGAAAGCTCGGCGATTGCCGGGCGATGTTCGCTGAACGTCATGAAACTTTACATTGTAAACTTGTAAGATCGCAGGCAGGGAGGAGCTTGGATGGAATGCTGAAAGCGAATTCAGTCCAGCAGCTGGGCGAAAGATTAAGTTGTTACCTTCAAATCTTTACTGTCTTTACTGTTCTACTACAGTTGCTTGGCGTAGATGCTGGCCATGTGCTCGTATGTACGTGAAATGTGGGAGGCAAATCTGACGCAGGAAGGCTGCAAGGCTTTTCTGCTACAAGCAAACGGACCCGAGCCAGCAATTTAGCTGCTTTGCTTTGCTGCTGATGCACGTGAAGTTGCAGGTATGTTAGATCCAACGCCTGAGGAGCAGACCAAAGCGTCCCGTTCCACGAGCCAGCGATCATGCAAAAGTATGCGGCGTGCTCTGGCAATGACACTGCACGCAAACCACAGACACGTGTACGTCATGCCTAGCCTCTCCGTGAGGTGCGGATCCCTGATCTGGGAAGGGGAGCAGGACCGGGACCTCACCGTCGTGGGGCAGCATTGGCCGACGTTCGTTGTCACCCACTTCCGGGAACCCCCGATCTTGCTGCCCCAGGCAGGCTGCGACAAGCACGCGAACACATCTGCTCTCATGTTTGGCTGTTTGGGTGGATGCAGGGTGTGCTGGAAGCATTTGCACAGGATGTGGAGCGGGAGATGCTAGCTTCCGCACCTCGTGCGCCTCGTACTCCAGCGCCACTTGCTGCTGCGGCTTTAGCTGCCGCTGAGCGGCCAGGCGAACACTACCCATGGGAGAGGATAGGCACTTGCTGCCGGTAGCATCTGTTTGCAGCTTTAACATGCTTCAACGTCAACCAAACGTCAACCAATGGTCAGCCAAATGAGCTTGGGTGCAACTGCTGCGAGGCGTGACATCACAGCTCCATGGTACAATTGGCTCGCAAAACTGGGAGGACCGGAAGAACAAGGCCTGTGAAGCCACTGAGAGCATCAGAAACCTGGTGCACAGTGCTCCTGTTAGATTAGATGTAGAGGCTGTCCCATCCGAAACCTACCGGCAAGAAGTCGTAGACGAACTCCAGCGAATCCCAGAACCGCAGGCTCGGGCTCCGCATGCCTTCCTCCTGCCTTTCTATGACACCAACATTGGGCACTGGATGAAGCAGCACGGTTCCATGAACCCATTGCAATCCTACGAGATGCAATCGTTGCTTCAACCAGGGGACACTGTCATCGACGTGGGTGCCAATCTTGGATGCTACACGGTGCCGTTTGCAGAGCGTGTGGGCATGGCAGGCAAGGTCATCTCCTTCGAGCCATTCCGTTGGCTTCGTCAAGTCGTAGCAGCCAATGTAGCTATGAATGGCCTGAGCAACGTGTGGCTTCCACCCGTGGGACTGAGCACGGCGCGAGGAAGCTTTGAGGCACGTCCACCGCAGCTGAAATTCTTTTCGTCTCCTGGCGGGATGAAGCTGCAGCAGCAGCAACAGGATGCGAAGCCTGAAGAGGTCATGTGCCGAAACGTTTAAGAATCCTTGCGCCACTTGTTGCCCGTTGTGCTACGAGGCAATTTCTTGCAAAGCCTGGCCCGGAGGTCATGCAGCTCTACGATTGGGATTCTGCACCCGAGCGCATCACTGTTCTCAGCCTTGATGAGGTTCTCGGACTTGTGCCGTCACCTGGTGTGGAACTGCTCGGCCTCCCTCAAGTAGATGATGTTCGGCTCATCAAGATCGATGTGGAAGGAATGGAAAAGGAGGTACTTGCAGGGGCCAGGCGGGTGGTACAGGCCTTCAAGCCCATCGTTTGGACGGAGAACGTTGCGTACTTTTCGTCGAACGGCGTGAGCCTCAGCAAAACGCGAACTGACTGTTCCTGCCTTCGCGGCGGGCTGCAGGCTGCGGAGTCACGAGCTCAGGTCAGGATGTGTCCTTTCTGCAGCTGCTCAGATGAATGGGCAGTGCAGAGGAAGTTTGGGGGGCGATCGCCGCCTTTGTGGTTTGGTTCCAGGAGTTCGGCTCGATACCCCATGCCTCATTCGAAAACCTGTACCGTGTGAACTCAGGATCATGGACGAGATGGAGTATGTCTGCGCACAAGCACAAAATGCTCCGAACGACATCATCTGCACGGACCGACACGGTCGTGGGCATCAAATTGTTTAACAGGGTCGCTGAGCCAGGCAAAATGCCGTGCAGGCTACGCGGTGCATGCACCGAAGGCACCGAAGTCCGAGCCGACAAATTGACAAAAGATCGTTTGGGATGTGTTTGCACACTTTGCTGGATGGCCATTCACCGCACGTGCTGGTGGTGTTTTCTCAGGTGTGTGCGGCTGACGCTTGACATATTTCGAAATCTTGGTTGAAGTTGCACGCTCTTCAAGTTGCTCTTTGAACTTTTGCCGCTGCGCCGCCATGAATATACAAGCCGTAGGTAGCTTGCAGCGTCGCTCCGTAAACGTGTCAGAAGCATAAACGACAGAGGCGAGACGAGAGCCCATCTTTCTGCATCCCTGAGCAGCAGCCCCAACACAGCACCACTACCAGAAAATAAAAAGAGCCGCCGCAGTCTGCAACTATCGAAAGCCCTGTGTTGGGCGGTTGCAGCAACCATGGTCGCTCGGAGTCAACAGAAGGATGTGCTTTGTTTGGGCTACAGTATTCGAACTCCATTGTTCTAGCGCACCCTGCCGCGGCCCCGAGGATGAAGAAGCTGCCTTTGGCAGCGTCCGGGGCACTGCGATAGGTGTCTATGTGGAGAGACCCAACAAACCGGGAAAGGCTTGCTGGCTTGCAATGGGTGTGCATGAAGTGACTTTTCCTCCAAATCTTGGAAATAGTTCGGGCTTGCGGTCAGATCCTGCGCGAGGTTTTCAAGCTTCGAGATGTTCGTACCCATGGTACCAGCAAAGACTGGCCGACAGCCAGCAAAGACATGCCACCGCGGCGAAGCTATGGCAGCCAAGACTATTCGCGAGCAGCGGATGCTAGACGCTCTCGCAACTCGGTTCTCGTTCTGGTTTGAGGTGAATCTCAGAGAATTGTGGGTAGGAAGTGCGCATGAGCTTCGGCTCTGATTTTGATGTTTCGGCGGGGCTTATGCCTTTTTCTTCGGTAGTCGTAGAAACATGAACTCAACGCAGCGACCGTGTTTGTCACGATGGCATGTGACATGCGTGCATGTCGTTCCAAGAGGATAGCCAAAGCTTTTGCCAGAGCATCATGCATCGATTTTGGCCAACCCCAAGAACACAATGCCTGTCAGATGTGGATTGGCACATGGTCTGGGCAGCCATATAAATGTTGACCTAGTGCTAGGCTAAGGTCGAAACGTCGCAGATGCAATCTCTGAAGTGTGAGGTGATCCATCGCCGCTTCCGACCCCAAGCACTTCCACCTTCCGGCCAAGAGGTCTGGAAACTCCAGACTCACGCCGTCTAGAAACACCAGACTCCCGCCGAATGGACTCATCACCCTCGCGTCGAGATCTCGGCACATTCACACATGTCAGTGTGGCCACGGATGTTGTGTCTTAGGTGGGCGCTCCGGATCGCCACAGCGACTGACCGTGGAGCCCAGATTCGGAGAAGAGCGAAGCCACTTGCCAGAGCTTGGAAAGCGCGGCATGCTGCAAGCAAGCTCATTGCAACTTCCTTGATTGCAATCTTCAGGGACAGGTGGTGTATTCAAGCATCCTGCTTCCGCCAGAGACCTTTGAGGCATTCCTCGCCGGCAAGTGCACGCGGATCGCAGCGAAGAGGACTTGTATCCACGTGCCGTGGATGTAGACAGACCGTGTCTGCAGACATGTCAGAGTGATGTCTCAAGATATCTTAGGCGACAGGCTCACGGCCCGGAGATGTCATTGTGAGTTAAGGTCACAGCACTATCGAGTCCCGGCAGTCTTCCCGCGACAGTTTGCGTGCCTCAGCGCAAGCCTTGCGTCTCTCTGGGTGAATAAAACGAGACATATTTCTCGCAAGACAGATCTGAGAAGCATCCAAGGCTGGAGTGCGAATGTAGACCCGCGGCAATCTAGCGCTGCCTTCGACGACAGGCGTACGGTGCCAAGAAGACACAACATGACACCCGAGAAATCCATAGCCACCTCAACCCGCAAGACCGCAAGTGCGCACGCCTCCTGCCGGACCGGAATGAACCGGACATAAGGTCAGCAAAGTCAGCAGAGTCAGTACTCAGGGAGCAGACGGCCAAGCACAGACTACTACGGTGGAACCTTGGCTGCTGCAGAGGGATTATCACCTCTTGTGTGGGCTATTGCGCAAGCTTCCATGTCCTTACTGAGACTGACTCCGCTTCTGCCGCATATCAGATGTTGGTTTGCAGTTGTGCAGCAGCAGAATCTGCAATGCCTTGCGGGCACCGCAAAAGCCTCCCAGCGGCTACAAATGTTTGAGTTAAGGCAACCTCCCGCCCCGTCGGTTCACGGAGTGGGTTCGGGAAGTTTGTGCCAACAGAGCGTACAACTTGCCGACACAGGCCTTCCTACAACTCATGAGCCAACGGCAAGCTTCGTTTGGCACAAGAGAAGGAAATCTGCGCCACTTGCAGCGCTAGTGAGAGTCTCTTTTCTTCTCTGTCACCGGAAAACGGGAATCGAAAGTCGCATGCTTCGCATATCTTCGCTTGGTTTCTTCTTATGAAGACTTGAAAATTTCCATAGATGTCCTACTTCCCGCTTAGGAGCAAGTTGAGTGTCTTTCCGAGGCATCGGTGCCTCAGCCGAGCTGGCAGCTTACCGAAGACCGCCGGCGCCGGTGCCAGCGCCGGCGCCGGGCCCGCCAGTCGCAGCGCCGCCTTCGAACGAGGACTTCCGAAGCCGCTCGCAGGAAAATCTCTTGGCTCACTGGAATCCCCTCATGCCCTCCTGGGTCAAGGTTGGCTCGCTGGCGTGTTGGAATCGGAGCGGGAGGTGGTGCATGAGGCGCGTGCCAAGATTTTCGAGAAGTGCATGCGCCTTCGAAGATGCTCAAAGCTGGCGTTTTGGTATCATGCTGCTGTATTGGCACAGGTCATCAAGGGGCGGCACATTGAGATCCTTAGCCAGGTCAATCTCAAGCTCGACTCTGGGCCTATCTTAATTATTCTTGCTGATGCTATACCGGATCCGCACGATGGAAGCCGTCTAGACCGATGTGTATTCAGTAAGATTGAAGAATCTACGAAGGGCTCGGTTGAGACCTGGATTCTATCGGCCTTTATGGGGCCTTTGTTCATTCAGGACAGCATGGGAAAGCCTGCAGCGCCAAGCGACATGCCAAAGCCTTTGCGGGTGACGCCAGTACCGCATCAGAAAGGCGACTCGTTGGCATTGCCGATATCTTGAGGCGATGAGTTGGGGCATCCCGTCCATGGAATTTTCAAGCTGGCACATTGTCTGAGGCGTGGAGTCGCAGCCGCATTTGCCGGGAGCATCTCAGTCTGCAGATAAATCCCGGTCAAGGCTGAAATAAGGGAGCGCATGAAAGGTCGCGGCTTCGAAGGCCGCGAACCAGGATGCAGCATACATAGACTTGCATCGGCTTTCCGAGTCAGCCTCATCGCCAAGGTCTTAGTGGTGCGTGAAGATTGGGCAGCTGGAGCGAAGGACCCCGGACTCAGTTCAAAAAAGGCCTCTTGACCATTGGTTCGTGTGCCTGCGAATATGCTGGCTTTCGCTGGGCGTCATGCTGTCCAATCAGTTCTGGTACCGGCATGATTGCCATGACAGCAGTTGGCTGTTCTTCCAGCAGTCAACGACGCCTGAGGTTTCTGTGACGGACGACACTGACGCAAGGTCGGTTGGTCCGGATTGTCCCGATGCGACTCGACAGCAGATGTCTTGCTTGCCGCCATGTGCACGCATCTGACCGTCCGACACAGCAACACCTCATAACACCTCCTTGTTGGCATATTTTGTCGGCAAGTATTTTAGGAAGATCTTCTTCTTGCATGACACGGCATGCTTCCGAGTGGCGCGTTTGGTGTTCTCAGACTGATGTCGGCTGATCGTGGTTCTCCGTAGCTTTGTTCTTGCATGATTTCATGGTGCCCGCATCAGGACATGCCGGTTGTGATCACGTCGAGTTTGCCACCGCCAGAAAGAGCCATAGCCTTCACTGAGCCGGATCTAAGAAGAACGAAGTCGGAAACTTGGCGGCAACTGTTGGCAAACACTGCCCCTCCGCTTATCAAGTGTTCTGCGTCGTTGGGAGCAGGCCGGTAGTTCATCGGGCTCTCAGGCGGGATCGCTTGGCAGATCCGATACGCTTGAAGCCAAGAGCAGGGGAGCTGTTAGCATTGCAAGCAGCCGCACCATGGCAGCAGCTCATGGGACCCGGCATGGCTTCCACTGTTGCATTGCCCGTAAATCTTTCAAGGCATGACCCAGACCATTCCTCATCTTCGGAAGAACAGCCTCTTGGAGGGCCTCAAAGAGCTTCCGTTTTGGCATCCAGGACACCGCTTCTCAAGCCTGCAGGGTGTACTAAGCTCCGCGGCCTTGCGTGTAGAGTTCCTTGTGGGCTCCTTGGTCCTCTGCATAGCCTGCAACTTCTTTCAGGACGATACGTGCACACGACGCAGTTCGATGCACTTTTCTGCGGCGTCATTTTAGCGAACACCGTCGTGAATCTCGGCTGCGTCGCTGTATTCCTGGTGCATTCAAAACCCTTGTGTGTAAGGGTGTGTCGAGTCTCCGCCAAAAGTTGAAGCGCTTTAGCCGGCTTGCTGTTGGAGTCGTGAACAAAGCTTTGTGTTGCTCAGCTTGGCCTTTCCAGCTTGCTGGTCAAGAAGTGCACCGGAAGCCTCTGCACAGCTGCACCATGTGTACGGATGTGGCGGGCATTGTTGTTTCAGCACGAGATATGCTTCAAATTTTTGTCTATTATGATACGGCCAACTAGACTCTAGACGGCCGAGTTTGTAACCCTTGCCAGCGGGTACACAGTGTAGGCTTCGCAATCCGGCTGGTTTCAAAATTTCAGAATTCCATCACATTGCAGATCGCAGCTGTTCTCAACTCGGACCGGGCATATGATTTGAGTGCAGCTCGTCCTCTAATCTAAAAATCTTACGCCGCGGTGCTTTCCTGGAACCACTGCATCGGGAGTTGGCTGCCCCGTGCCTGTGCCACATGCTGTTCGGCAGAGGATGGCGCTACAG